AGTGACGCCGGGAGCCAGAGTGACGTCATATTCCGGCTCCCAGCATTAGTTGGGCCGCATGACATGGCTGATGTACACAAAAGGCCTATTTCTCTCAAATATTGTTCACAAATATGTCTTAATCTGTGTTAGTGAGCACTTCTCCTTTGACGAGATAATCCATCCACCTCACAGGTGTGGCATATCAAGATGCTGATTAGACAGCATGATTATTGCACAGGTGTGCCTTAGGCTGGCCACAATAAAAGGCCACTCAAAAATGTGCAGTTTTATCTTTCAGCACAATGCCACTGATGTCGTAAGTTTTGAGGGAGCGTGCAATTGGCATGCTGACTGCAGGAATGTCCTCCAGAGCTTTTGCCCGTGAATTTAATGTTAATTTCTCTACCATAAACCATCTCCAAAGGTGTTTCAGAGAATTTGGCAGTCCTTTGACAGTACATCCAACCAGCCTCACAACTGCAGACCACGTGTAACCACAACAACCCAGGACCTCCACATCCAGCATCTCCACCTCCAAGATAATCTGAGACCAGTCACCCAGACAGCTGCTGCAACAATCAGTTTGCATAACCAAAGAATTTCTGCACAAACTGTCAGAAACTGTCTCAGGGAAACTCAACTGCATGCTCGTCTTCCTCATCAGGGTCTCGACCGGACTGTAGCTCGTCGTAATCGACTTGAGTGGGTAAATGCTTACATTTGATGGCGTCTGGAACTTTGGAGAGGTGTTCCCTTCACAGATGAATCCTGGTTTTCACTGTACAGTGCAGATGGCAGACAGCATGTATGGCGTCGTGTGGGTGAGTGGTTTGCTGATGTCAACATTGTGGATTGAGTGGCCCATGGTGGCGGTGGGGTTATGGTATGGGCAGGTTTATATTATGGACAATGAACACAGGTGCTTTTTATTGATGGCATTTTGAATGCACAGAGATACTGTGACGAGATCCTGAGGCCCATGTTGCAGCATGATAATGCACGGCCCCATGTTGCAAGGATCTGTCCACAATTCCTGGAAGCTGAAATCATCCCAGTTCTTGCATGGCCAGCATAATCACCGGACAAATCACACATTGAGCATGTTTGGAATGCTCTGGATCGGCATATACGACAGCGTGTTCCAGGTCCTGCCAATGTCCAGCAACTTCGCACAGCCAGGGCCAGATTAAGAGCCCAGTGGGCCTGGTGCTGACAATTATGATGGGCCTAATTACAGAATCTTATCAACCCAAAACACTAAAACAGTCATAACTCCTAAGCGTCATGTATCTGATGGAGATAGTGTTGAAGGGAAACTCAAAGGATGCAGCTAAAAGAAAACACATACTCTATGCTAATCTCTCTCTAATTAATGCTTTCATCTTTCAAGTAAATCCATATCCCCTAACAGCAGTGTCCAGTGAAGCAGGAAGTCAATGGGCGGGAGAAAAGGGTGGGCCACTGACGCAAATCACGTGACCAGAACTGCCAAAAGGTGCGAACCTGCCGAAAAAGTGGGCATGTCTGTCCAAAGAACTGGAAAGCCAGCCTGGCATCAGTGTCCCGATGTATCACAGTGTCAGTGTCCACATGTTGCCCAGTCCCCTAGTTTCCCAGTGTCTCAGTGTTCTCATTTCTCCCCGTGTCCCCATGTCTCAGTGTTTCCCGTGTCACTAGGATACATAAGACACAGTGAGACATGGGGACACTGAGAGACCCAGGGACACAGAGACACTTGGGGACACTGGGAGACATGGGGGCACTGACACACTTGGGGACACTGGGAGACATTGGGGCACTTGTGGATACAGACATGGGGACACTGGGAGACATGGGGACACTGAGACCTTTGGGGACACTGGAAGAAATGGGGACACAAACACTAGGGACACAGAGACATGGGGATACAGATACTGGGAGACATGGGGACACAGATACTGGAAGACATGGGGACACAGACATTTGGGTACACTAAGACACTAGAGACACTGGGAGACTAGGGGACACTGGGAGACATGGGGACACTGAGACACTAGGGACACTGGGAGACATGGGGACACTGGGAGATATGGGGGCACTTGTGGACATAGACATGGGGCACTTGTGGACATAGACATGGGGATACTGGGAGACATGGGGACACTGGGAGACATGGCGACACTGAAATATTTGGGGACACTGGGTTACATGGGGACACTGAGACTCTGGCTGGGAGACATAGGGACACTGAGAGATATGGGGACACTGAGACACTAGGGACACTGGTGGGAGACATGTGGACACTGGGAGACATGGGGATACAGACATTTGGGGACACTGGGAGCCATGGGGACACTGAGACACTACGGACACTGGGAGACATGGGGTCACAGACACTGGGAGCCATGGGGACACAGAGACACTAGGGATACTGGCTGGGAGACATAGGGACACTGGGAGACATGCAGAAACTGTGTCCCTAGTGTCTCCGTGTCCCGTGTCTCCAAATGTCCCTATGTCTCATAGCGTCCCTATGAGTCTCAGCATCCCCATGTCTCACAGTGTCTCCTAGTGTCTCAATGTCCCCTAGTGTCTCAGTGACCCGTAGTGTCTCAGTGTCCCCATGTTTCCCTGCTGCCTTTTCCCCATCCTTCACTTCCCTGAGCTGTAGTCTGTCTCTGCAGCCTGGGAGCTGCAGTCTGAACTCTGTGCTGTGAAGCTGCTCCCCCGTGGATCAGTGAGTAGAGAGAGAACTTCCTATCCCTGCCTCTCTCCACACACAGTGACCCCTACTGGCTGGTGCTGGTATTGCAGAGCAATCTCCGTTTATACTGAGAAAAATATCTGCTTTTGTATTGCCGGTATTACTGCACTACCGGCACAGCCAGGCAGCCTCAAATACTGGCTGTGCTGGTAAAATACCAGTCAGGTGGCAAACCTAAGAGTAGTGTGTGTAAAAAAAAAAAAAAAGTTAAAAAACATTTTTTTTTAAAATGGGCTTATTCCATGGGCCTGGGCATGGAGCTGCAGCTCCATCAGCCCCTATGTTAATCCGGCCCTGCGCACAGCCATTGAAGAGGAGTGGACCAACATTCCACAGACCACAATCAATAACCTGATCAACTCTATGCGAAGGAGATGTGTTACACTGGGTGAGGCAAATGGTGGTCATACCAGATCCTGACTGGTTTACGGACTAAAGCTGCACAAAGTAAAACTGCACGGAGTAAAGCTGCACATTTTAGAGTGGCCTTTTATTGTGGCCTGCCCAAGGCACACTTGTGCAATAATCATGCTGTCTAATCAGCTTCTTGATATGCCACACCTGGTGGATGGTGCTCACTAACACAGATTTAGACAGATTTGTGAACAATGTTTGAGAGAAATTGTTTTTTTTGTGTACATAGGAAAAGTCTTGACATATGCACAGACGTTATTCGGCATGTGCAAACTACACTTAAATAATACACGGACACTGAATATTCTATTGGAGTATAATGTCCACAGCTTTATTAATTATTCAAATATTTAAATTAACAATTTAGGGTCATTGTCAACAGTAATAACTTTGTTCCGCTCCGTCCCCCAAAATACCCCTGACAATGACCCTACCAAAGAACAATACGTACATTATAAATAATACATAACAAATAACACCCGGCCTACCAAAGAGGCCCCACCACATTTGTCCACCTGCAGGGGTGTACCCAGACACCCCTACACCCCTTGGTTCATAGCCACCGACGGGCTCGAACCTACCAAACACTTTAACTCCGGCCTACTCCAGCCTAGACCTTGGCCTAACACTTTCCTAACCCCCAAAATTCCTGTTTAACCAAGCCCTTTTTCCGCCACAGCGCATGACTTGACCCCTTAAGATTATGCGCGACCCCCACCACACATAAACAGGGCTTGAGCAATACCCTCCTGGAGACCTAAATTAAACAAATCACATCCCACGTCAGATAGGTGGACTCCGTCCGGTCTGAAGTAACTTGGTATCTTTTCCTCCAGTTCCCGGTGACGAACTACTACCACCCCATCTTACGAATGAAGCTAGCCATGGACTTATTGACCTTACCCCGGCATCGGGCAACCGCAGCCGTGTCCCTGGCGTGCCGCCACTTGCACCGAGGCACCATCTCAAACCACACCACTGTCACGCCAGGAACCAATCGCCTCAAACGATCCACATCCCTCTTCATGCGCCTTAACAGAGTGCGTAACGGCACCAACCCCAAGTCATTACCCCCGCCGTGTATTACTACCACATCAGGCACGGCCCCCTCTGCTAACTTGTGAAATAATGCCATACTGATGTGCTGCCAATCACAACCCCGATAACCAAACCAATATATCGCCACTTGCTCCAAAGGAAAGCCCAGCTGTGTTCCGTTCCTTCTAGCTGCAGCCCTCTTCCGAGCCCAATAAATGTACGACTGTCCAATGATCCATGCCGTCCAACCTGTAAGAGACAAAACAGAGATAAACAGCGCACTTCCCAAGAACCATTGTTCCCCATTTCTTTGGGTTCACACCAACTTGTTCGGGCGCACGTATGTGCGGAACTGTAACGATTCCCAACGACCAATACGCTTGATCTTCTCTTCCCCTAAACCCAGACGCGCAGCCTCCGTGGCCGCCCCAATGCGGAATGAGTGTGTACCGAACTGTAATGGCTCCAGACCCATCTTGTGCAACCCCTGCCGAAATACCCTTGTAAACTGGAAGCGTGACAACGCTTTACCATCCGCATGAATAAAGAAACAACCGTCGACCTCCGGTCGTAGCTCCACAAACCTGGCCCCACAAGCCACTGGACACAACCCTGACCATGGCAATTTGAACAGATTGACCGTACAACCTTTGCCAAAGACATCCGTCTTTGAACGGAGCAGCTGTATCCGTACCTTGTCCGTACTAACCACTACGTCCTCGAATCTCAGTCCCCCAACACTCGCTTTGTTGGAGCTAACCAATTCCCCTATCCGAAACGCCCCAAAAAAGGCCCACACGAACGCCATTGTGAACAATGCCACCTCGAATACGGAAAAACATATACCTGGTAATTCCTCCACCAAACCTTGCAGTACCTTAAATGAAACCGGTCTCCTCGAGTCTCGGGCCTTCTTACCTTTCCTAAAACCCCGCACCGCTTGCCTCACCATGAAATGTTTTCTCACGTCTACCCAGCCGTTGAACTTGAAGAGGAACGCCAGCGCTGCGAGATGCTTATCTACCATCGATGGTGAAGCGTGCTCAGCGAACAAGCGGCAAAGAATCCACAACAGCACGTCCAACCGATTGGGTTCTGAGCCCTCCATGCCCAGCTGCTGCACTGTCGCGTCCCAGACTTTCTAAACCTTGATATACGATGACCACGTGCCCGGAGCCAGCGAATTTCTTATGTTGCTTCCACATCTACCTTCGCCATCAGCGCCCTGTGCCCCGCTCTCCGAACCAACTCAACAGCATTGTTGAATGATGTAGAGGAAACGGAGCACAGTGCCGCGTCGATGTCATCATTCACCTATGCCCCCACCGGGTACGATAAGTGATGTATCAGGCGGAATTTGCCCGCTTCCTTCTTGGGGACCACCCCCAGCGGAGACACCCTCAGTCCAGATATTGGCGACACCACAAACGGGCCAGCCATTCTTCCCAATCTCACCTCTTTCCACTAACCACCCCGGGATGCTCCAGCACCGACCTAAGATTCCCACACACTATACCCGGACCCCTATCCTGAAAAGGTATCACGAAACCGTCCGTGAACCCCTTCCACAAGAATCTAGCCACTTCCTGATTAGCGTATTGCCTTAGCCAAGGCAACATCGCGTCTATTTTCCCTGGCGATGCCCCCCCCCGCAGGAGCGGCGGCTACTGTCCCTGTGTTTCCCCCGTGTTAGTTTTACCTCTCTTGAAACATCTGGAGATTCCGTGGTTACCGCCGCAACCGGAGCACTCGTGCTTGAATCTGCATGATGCTCCCCACTTGCACTGCCCTTCGTTGAAGAGTCAGCAAAACCCCTTCTTCTGTCCTGCCGACGCGCTCCCACTTGGGCCCGCGCCGGCTGCCCCCAGAAAAGGGGCACTTTTCTGCGCCATAATTAGCCTCATCCATAATGGCAGGTCCATCTGGTCTCACCGCATAGCCGGATTTGCTGCCAATCGCTGACGAAACTATTCGTTACATCTCCACCATGCAAGTCCCCCGTAGGTCCTGTCCCATCCCCTATACCGTCCAAATAGCAAAAAAGCTGGGAGCAGCGCTCAGGGCACTTTTCCCCGATCACGCTAGCTAGTATGCAAAAGGCTCGCAGCCAGTTCTCGAACGTCTTGGGTATCTTCCGATACTTACGCCGTTTTTCCTCCTCCTCTTTCTTTGCATCCTTCTTGTCCTCCTCCTTCAAATCCAAAAACTCCTCGAAGAGAAGGAGGGAAAATATTTCCACAAATTCCCCTTTACCTATCTGCTCCTTAACCTCCGCTTTCAAGTGACACCCTAGCGGTCCCGCGAAGGAAACAAGCACGTTCTGCCTTGCTGCCTCTGAGATGTCCCCACAACTCTCCCCTTGCGAATTTGCGCAGTCTGCCTTCCCAGAGACTGTGTCCCAGGGACCTTCGTTGGCTTGCCTGGTCCCCAGCCCCACCTTGCCGGTCCGCTAGGCTGGCGCTGCCTGTACCTTTGCCTCCCACCTGCCCCTCAGTGTTGCCCCCAGGGGGCGACTCACCGGGACGCTGTGAAGTGTGCACTGCTCCCCTTCCAGTCTTCTGTGCTGGTTCCCGCCTGTGTGGTTGTGTCTCTGTCTGGGCCGTCCTGCGGGCAGGGGGCGCTCAATGCAAGAGGCCTCTTCCTGGCTCGCAGTCTCACCTGACCGGCGCCGCGTCGGACAGGCGGCGCAGGCCGCCCCTCTGCTCCCCTCCAGCTTCCAGACCCGCCAGCCACCTCTCCCTTAGCTCCCGATGGGCTCCTCTTCCTCCGCGCCGCCGGCGTCGCGCCCGGGCTGAGCCACTGGGGCAGCCTCGCTCTCCTCACCGGCCTCCTCACCGGCCTCCTCACCGCTGCCACAGGGGGGGGAGCAGACGTGCTCAGAACCCCCAGCTGCTCCTGCAACCATGCCAGACCCTTCTCCTGCACCACTGACCGGATGCCCGTCATAATTTCTTCAAGGGAAGCCATGACCTGCAAAAGAAAAGAGAGAAAGAGCCACGCTGACCTGCAACAACTCACAGGTAAGGGCAGCTCAAGTTAAAATGGCTTAAACTTAAGATGGCTGCTATTTAACAGGCTGACACTCCTCCCCCACTTAGCAACATAAACCACACCCCTTGACCTACAATTCACCTGCCAACTTTCTGGCCCTGTCAAGGCCCTGCATTGCTCCGTGGGCTTCATAGATATTTGAGTTCAGCTCATAAAAAATGGGGGCAAAAACAAAAGTGCTGCGTTTATAATTTTGTTCAGTGTGTATATATATATATGTATATATATATATATATATATATATATATATATATATATATATTGCTATGTTCATTTAATATATTTAACAGACTGTGACTGTTATTGCTGCACAAAGAAATAGTCAAATTCTGAATGGTTATATATACATGAATAATAGATATGATCTATCTTGGGTACATTAGTCTGCAGTGGTTGATTGACTGTAATTGTAATATTATTACTGTATAATTATATTAATTGTTTCTTTGTCACTTAGAGCAAGAGCAGGGGCGGCTCTCCTGGAAGATGAAAACATCCCAGTTCTTGTATGGCCAGCATACTCACCGGACATGTCACCCATTGAGCTCTCGAGTTAGCGAGGCCTTAGGCGAAACTCAAACATGAGGCCCATTAGCATGTTTATAAGAACCTGTAGATATATTAAATGGCAGGCTTGCAGTTTTGGATACAGAGCGGTAGTCTCTATATTCATCTTTAGAGGCTTGCATTGTCGCCGCTCCCTATGCCACTGCGTTGTGAGCTCTTTGCCTGTAGTTATGGCATAATATGCAATAAACAAATTTAATTTACAATTATGCTTATCATTTATACACAGGGACGTATTAGCTGCGAGGCAAACAAGGCATTTGCCTTGGGCGGCATTTTCCAGGGGGCGGCAAAAAAAAGCTGCCCCCAAATGCCCAGGGCAAATGTCTTGTTAGCCTTGCGGCTAACTGACACGTTGGTCGCGCGAGCCGCCCGCAGAGTGATGCCAGGAGCCGGAATATGACGTCATATTCCTGCTCCCAGCCTCACTCTGCGGGTGGAACGCAAGGGAGCTGAGCAGTGCACTCAGGGGAAAGTGCTCCCTCGCCAGCCGCCTACCAGCGCCGCCCGCCCTGCATCCCAGCAGCCACTGGACCCCCAGGGAATGGGGGAATCCCCCCCCCCCAGCATTCCCAAAGGTAAGGAGGCTGGTGGGTTAAATTTTTTTTTAAAAGTTAGTGTGTTAATGTGAATGTGTGTGTGTCTGTTAGTGTGTGTCTGTTAGTGTGTGTGTGTTAGTGTGTGTGTCTGTTAGTGTGTGTCTGTTAGTGAGTGTGTATGTTAGTGTGTGTCTGTTAGTGAGTGTGTGTGTGTCTGTTAGTTTGTCTGTTAGTGAGTGTGTGTGTGTGTCTGTTGGTGAGTGTCTGTTAGTGTGTGTGTCTGTTAGTATGTGTGTCTGTTAGTGAGTGTGTCTGTTAGTGTGTGTGTCTGTTAGTGTTTGCCTGTTAGTGAGTGTGTGTGTGTGTCTGTTAGTGAGTGAGTGTGTGTGTCTGTCTGTTAGCTAGTGTATGCGTGTGTGTGTGTATTTAGAATGCGGGGCAGGGGGAAGTGTTTGGGGGGGCGCCTGAGTTTTGTCCTTCCTAGGGCAGCACAAAACCAGGATACACCACTGTTTATACACGATTGCTTGGTATGGTTGTATAGCCTGGCAGTCGTGTATACATAAGTGCCAGTGTGAAGGGGTTATTGGAAACAAAAATTAACATTTTGGTTAGGCTTTTTAAAAAATAATTTACCAAATAATAAAGTTACTGATAAGAAAACAATGTTATAGACATTTTCCCACATATGTACGTATATAATATATATGTTGCTTCCAATTTTACCTTTGCATTACCCATACCATACCACCTTCACATTACAGACATAGACATACACACTAATACATGCACACACATAAACAATAATACACAAATACATATACACACTGATGCATGCACATACACACACACACACACACACGCACACACACACACACACACACACACACACTGATGCACAGAGACACAAATATTGACTAATAAAGACATATAGTCACAATGTGTATTTATCTGGCTGTGTGTATTTGAGTGTGCCTGGCATTGTCTACCTGTGTATGTGCCTTAGAGTGTCTGACAGTGAGTGTTTTGTGTGTATGTGCGGTGTATTGTGTATATGGGGGTCTGCCTTTGGCCTTTGTTTATGGCCAAGCTATGTTTTATGATTTTGTGAGTATGATGATTGTGTTCAGGGGTGACTGTGATAGGATGCGTAAAGGGGTAACTGCGGCAGGGTGAGTGTGACAGGGGAGGGGGTAAGTGTGACAGAATCAGTGAGGGCAAGGGTGACATGGTTGAGGGATAGACTGTTACAGGGTTAGAGGAGGTAAGCTTGACAGGTTTAATTGTTAACGTGACAGGGTGAATGTGGCATGGTTGGGGAGGTGTGCATCACAGGGTTGGGGTGAATGTGGCATTGTTGTAGGAGTGTGATAGGGCAAGGGGAGGTAAATGTGAGATGATTAAGGTGAGTGGTGAGTGTGACAGTGAGAGAAAAGGTGAGTGTAACAGGTTTAGGGTTAAGGGGGCGACAGTGTGTGTGGGAGTGTGGTGATAGTGTGTGTGGGGAGTGGTGACAGTGTGTTTGGAGATTGGTGCAAGATGTGTGGAGGAGGGTGACAGTGTGTGCATGGAGGGGGCTGACAGAGTGTGGAAGGGTGGCAGAGTGTGAAAAGGTGGCAGGTGGCAGAGTGTGGAGAGGGAGAGGGTGACAGGTGGCTGAGTGATGGAAGGAGGGGGTGACAGGTAGCTGAATGATCGGGTGACAGGTAGCTGAGTGAGAGGTTGACAGGGGGCAGAGTGAGGGAGTGAAGGGGTGACAGGGGGCAGAGTGAGGGAAGGACGGGGAGACGGGGACAGAGTAAGGGAGTGACGGGGGTAGTGTGAGGGGGTGACAGAGGGACAGAGTGAGGGAGTAAGGTGACAGGGGGAAAAGTGAGGGAAGGAGAGGGGGTGACAGGGGGCTGAGTGGAGGGTGACAGGGGCAGAGTGAGGGGTGACAGAGGGCTGAGTGAGGGGGG